TATATGTATATGAATGTATTGAGTAGCTTGAGAAAAAATTTGATTTTGAGCAAACGCCAACAATTTACCTATCCCATCTGTCTTGCCTGTCTATTATGTTCATAAACATCCCGATTCTTCTCACTCGTGCACATTAGTCTGTGTAAATATGCATACTAGTTTTAGACAGAAAAACAAAAAGAAATCGCACCTCACAAACACACGCGTGCATCAACTTGCTAGTAGCTCGTGTTAGTTCGTGGAACGGTGAGTACACACATACATCAATTTTGTTTTTAATGAGAGAAGCGCTCGAGCCTGATACGGGAGTCATTAATCGTTATCCGGCTTAATTCTGTTTTCTTCTTTTCGACACGATTCAGGGAAATCGCAACGTAACAGGCTCGGGCGATTAATCGATGTGTTAGTTTGGTATTCGTGCTTTAGTTGCATGCGTCCATGTTTGTAATGCCGGCTTGCTTGCTGCTTTTAATATGCTAACAATGCCATTAACGAATCACTTCCTGTTTTGTTTCCGTTTCTGGAAACCCGAAAAAGGGAATTTTTTTAAGTACGTAACATGCAAATAGTTACTCCTACAAGTAGAGAACATATTCTTGAATTATTCCAACAACAAAAATTAACTTTCGGTGTTCAAATATTGCTATAATCGAACATTACTTGTTGAGTTTCAATGATTCAAAATTTTTAAGTTTACGTATTACATTTTAAGTGTACCAAAAACAGTATAAAGAACTAATTCAAACTATCTTCTTCGCACTAGGACGAAATTTTTTTCAGAATCATGTTAATTTTACGAATTTTGTTCTGATGTGAATTTCTTCGATGTTTTAGATCGACTTAGACAGTAATTATAAAAATTTAATACAAAATGTAAATGGTTCTTTTTATGTAAGATTTGCGTTTGCTAGAATGTAAACATTAAATCAATTGAACCAGTGAAAAGCTGCAAGGACCTTCCAGTTATGGCAATGTTATAACACCGCGAAATTAATTTATATAATTCATTCTCAAAGTGTGGGTATATTATTTTATCGATTTAAAAAAAAGCCTAGAAATGATGCATTTTTCTGACTTCAAAATTATAATCCCTTAATGAATTATACTTTATAGAAAATGTATTATGAAAGTGTAAACAGAAAACATAAAAATGGTTTCTTCTGTACTAAGAGGGAATTATTGGTTTCGTTATATTTTCCAGTAGAATCGATTTGGTCTATGCTCTAGGTATAGTTTGCATAATAATAGACTACGGATTTTTATGCGAAATCAATCTTTTGTGGTATCGATTTAAATAATGAAACGTAAAATAAGATTTTGTTCATCCTTCCAAGAATAATGTTTCAATTTTACTTACAATGATACAATGTTACAATGTCACAATGATACAATGTTATAATGATACAATGTTACAATGATACAATGTTAGATTGATGGTCGATCCTCACAGAACGTGCGATGCAATGCGATGCGCTGCGTTTCCGTATTTTTCGAGTTTTCGACCGGGTCTGCCAGTGCTGTAAGCTATATCCTACAGCATATACTGAAAGCATGTAAAAGTCGGAGACTTCGGAGGGCCCCAGTGTTAGCTAGCCGAGAATCGGTAGCTCGAGGACCAAAAGTAGGGGTCACACACCCGCTGTCCACTTACACATAGACGAAAAGGTCGATGCGATTCACTTACACATAGACGAAAAGAAACGCATGCGATTTTTCCGAAAGTGTTCTCGCCAAGAAATCCCGAGGATTTCATCGCAGAGGCCACAAAATCGACCTTTTCGTCTATGTATAAGTGAACAGCAGGGGGTCTGACCCGTAGTTTGGGTCCTCGAGTTACGGATTCTCGGCTAACTATTACGGGGGCCCTCCAAAGTCTCCGACGTTTACATGCTTTTAGTATATGCTGTAGGGTACAGTCTACGGCACTGGTAAACCCGGCCGTAGGCTCGAAAAATACGGAAACGCAGCGCATCGCATCGCATCGCACGCTCTGTGAGGATCGACCATGATACAATGTTACAATGTTTCAATGTCACAATGATACAATGTTACATTAATACAATGATACAATGATACAATGACATAGTGGTACTTACTCGTACATACAATGTATATTCTTGAGCATCAAATGCATTCTTTATATGTATTTCCTGCACGTTCTTCTACAAAAGCATAAACTCCGTAATCTAATAATAATAATAATGAACAAGTAGCTAACAAACGTAACAGGAGACTCAGGAATCGTTTCCTTATTAGACTCTGCAAACTCTATCGACTTGATCAGTACGTCGAGTTTAATGAGCCGAGTTTCTATATCAAGGTTGATTGCTCTGTTCCAGATAACACGCTTCTGGCGATAGACTCGGTGCCTCCGCACGGTATAGTACAGCCGCCGCCCTACATCCCGCCCCCCAAACCGGAGGAATGCCAGAGAAAGGAGAAGATCCAGGAGGATCAGCTGATCCAAACGGGTTGCGAGAAACAGCAGAATTATGGTCAACAGGCTATGATGAACCACAATAAAATATACGCGCACGACCCGCGCCAGAATATCTACGATAACAACAAATACGCGGAACGCAACGATTTCCAACGCGTTTGCGACCAACGGCAAATAGTGTACATGAGAAACGCGAGGAACCAGCAATGCTACGTCAAGGACGCCGTCGGTCAACAATTTTATACGCTACCGTCGAGGAGGCCTCAGAGGGATGTTGAACCGCCGCGAAGCGTCACGCCGGATATTACCAGAGGCCTCGGACGCGGGTCTTTCAGCAGCGGCGTACACATGTTAGCTAGACAGAGGACAGTGATAGACCAGGACATGAATCGATACGGTGGCTCGCAGGTGGACTTGAATAGGAGAAATTTGGAATGCTTTGAGACGGAGAACGGACGCAATCAGATACCGATTGTGGATATCAGAAACAGGTAACTAGAGATTAATTGATACGAAAGCGTTGAAAGTTTAGGAAAACTGTAAATTCCTTTCATTCATCCATTAGCAATTGCTAAAAGAATGCTTGTATAAACACAGATTTCAGCCCTCAATATTCGGACAAGTTTCAAAATAACTGTTTTTAATATTCGACCAATGTGTTGGTTTAGTTTTGCACTTTACTGCACGTGTAACTTACTAATTGTTAGTAGTATAAATGTGTTTTAGATTTTCATTAGGGGCTCAGATCAGGAACTTAAAAATACGGTTTTTTTTTATCAAATAATAAAAAAGAACTAATCTGTTTTGACATGTGTACGAATATTGATGAGGGTCACTGTATATTGAAAAATCAGTCAATCATTTATATAAATGCGACAAATTTCCGACTATTTTTATATACACATGCATTTCTCTATACAAAACCACATATTTTCACTGGTTTGGTAGTTCTAGTGTTAAAGCTTTATGAAAATTGTAAATCGATTTCATCACATTCATTAAAAATTGGTACAAAATAAGCTTGTAGAAATATACAATGACCAATGCAAACACGAAGTAATTTAATTACATTGTGCATCTCATAGTGAAATTATTTAAACGATATAAATTAAATTAAATCTTATAGTAATTATACATACAAGAACTGCATTCGATACATTAAAAAAAAGAGATATTTCACATGTACCATGCAATTTGAGGGATGAAATCAATGAAAACATTGAAAACTTTAAAACGAATCCGTCAAATAATATAAAGAAAAGTGTATAATATCGATTTTCGTATTAGAAGACAGAACTAAAATAAGACGTCAGCTTGTATAGTAATGAAAATACCAAAGGGAATCGGTGCTAAGTACAAACGTTCGCTTTCTTCACCCAGATTCGCAACACCATTAGGACTGACAGCGCTTGGGTATCGATTCTTCGCGTCCTCGCCTATCCGTGATCCCGTTACGAAGTCTCCTAGTGCTGATGCGTTAAAGTACAATCCAATTTCGCCGATCGGGCACAGCTACGGGAATAGTTTCAACTCATCCACGCCGACCGCCGTTCGTACTATGACAACTGTTGCCGCTGAACGTCCACCGAACAACAATAACGTTAATAATAATTGTTCGTCGATGCCGAACTCAGGAAGAAGCACGCCCGTGCAGAATTTGTCAGGCAGAAGCACGCCCGTGCAGAATTCGTCAGGCAGGAGCACGCCGACGAACTTAATTCTATCACCCACGAAGAGCACCATGTCCAACGAGGAGCTCTTCGCCGCCATTCACAAATCCAAGAAAAGACTGAACATAAAGGATGACAACGAGAATCTGTCACCGTATGGTTCAACCAATTCGTTGGCGAAGATTGCGCCTGGGAGCAGAAACAGCTGGACCGTGGAATCGCAAAAAATGGTATGTGCAATAATTTTGATGTTCATTATATTGGATAATTGTTATAGTTGTTACAATCGTATCATGGGAGGACTACAGTAATCTCCGGCTGTATGGCCATCGATCGGAGGCAGGTCATATTCGAAGGGGTGGATTTCGTAGAATCGCTCGTCGTTCGAGCGCGCAGTATAGAAAAGAGTCGAATATGCGAGAGCGATGACAATTGAAATAGAAAAAGAATAAACATAAATAAGACTGAATGCTAAGAAAAAATGTTTTAACGAAAGTTCGTCATTTAGACGGAGTATCAATTTATTGTTAGTAACTTGTTAATTATTGAGCGTAACGAAAAATGTTTTAAACGAAAGTTGTAGATAATGTTATTACCTTGTCAATGTTGTATACAAATTCATTGTAACTCCAATATTTTCTGAGTAATTGTCATGAGTATGAAACTGATTCCTCAGTATAGAACGAAAAAGTATATAGATAATAAGTACTGGAGGCTCGCGTCGAGCTGGCGTTTCAACGAATTGGTGGGTATCACTCGTGGCCATATATCCGGAGATTACTGTATATCTATTTGGTGAATATTCTTATTGGTTTATCTCATAGACATATGAAAATAGACCGAGAATCCATATGGGACAACGGCGATTGAGCAAAGGAAAATTAATCTTTTTCGGCTAATCGGCACTGGACATCAGAAATATATCTTTCGTTCGGTTTATATTCTTATGTCTATAGTTTATTCTAAGTACTCTACCTTTATCTTCCTATTTATTCTTCTATTTCTAAACAATTTCAGGTAACGCAAAACGCGCAGCCTCCGCCACCGGCTACCTCGCGACTGGATTTCAAGCGGCTGCTGCTTCAACAAAGCGTAAAAACTGGACCGGTTAGACTGTCAGCAGCCGAGCAACTGAAACTATCGCGGCAACAATGTCAGCACCAACAATCATCGCCGGGTGTACAACAAACCTCATCGTTAGCCAAAGTCTTGAGTCCGCGCTCGATATGGAGGTTTCAGACTCCACGAACGGACGTCCTATCTTCTACCATAATCGAGGACACCGCGGCCGAGGAAAAAGCCATGAAACCCTCGCCAGAGAACGCTTCCCCAGTGTCTCGAGTGAACGCGAGACGGCAGCTGGACCTCAATAGCGAAAACGATTCACTTTTCGACCCCTGCGAAGATAGGCTGACACCTAATAATATTGAGGAGGCTTCGAAACTGACGGTTGAGTCATCGGATAGAAGAGTTCAATCGCAAAAGGAAGCGTCGGAAAGTCGTGGCAATGAGCGACTGACTTCCGTGTCGTCGAGCAAAGCCGAGAATGCGGGAAAGCCGCAGTATCCCTCGCAGCTCACTCCCTCGTGTCAGCAAGCGATAAGCGCCTTCGAGTCGAGAAGGATTAGCAATCAGTTGGCAAGAGCGCAGTTCTTGGCCAGTACACCCGGTACGAATCAGTCTAGCAATGTGTACGCGAAAAAGGCGTTTCGTGCGAGATCGGAATCCCCTCAAAGTCCGACGATCCAAAACGTAACGCGTAGCCCAAGCGTGCCGACGCTGGAAACAGCCCTATGATCGCCCGCTCGCGTTTTACAACGTAAATGTGTGTCGTTTGGAATCAGAATGCACTGCCGTACTTTTATTATTTATATTTTTCGACTGTATAATTGAAATGGCATTTCTGTATGTTTATATAAAAAAACTTGAACGCGTTTGATAGCATAAAATGATTGTCACAATAGAAATCTGGTTCTGGATGACGCGCGTCCAATCTTGCCACACATACAATTTCATAGTCTATGTGATGAAATTGAATGCAAGGTGAATCTCGTAATATGTAGACTTCGAATAATTCATAAGGTATTCATTGTATGACAAAAATTTGTAAACAAATGTCGCATGGTCTCCAGGGGACATGCAATACTGTGATCTGTTTTTTATCTCGTTGCTTTTTTATCAAGATATGAGGGTCACGATCAATTTTGTAAATAAATGAATAAATAAAAATATTGTGTATTCTGTTTAAAAAACTGAAGTTGACTTTCATATCGCAATAAAAAAAGCAAAGAACTGAAAAATAGATCACATAGTTGCGTGTACCCCTAGAAACTATGCAACATTCATTTAATAATTCTTATCGTACAACAAATACCTTACGAATTGTTCAAACTCGTCGTGTTACAAGACTCACCCTATATAATGTCACACAGTAAATTTAAACGTAGAGTCGATTCGTTCGAACTCCGAGAGGACAATAATTTATTAGAACGTGCTAGTACGATAACGGTGTTGAAATTAATATTATACAGTATTGGATTGCTTCATTGATGTGTCAAACTATAATATCGAGGGATGAAGAAACTGCACTGGTATCGAGACTAGTAGTAATGATAACGTTAATCGAGGTGGAACTATATATTCGATCAACATTACACACGCAGCGAATTCACTGAGAGCAATAATTCGCAGTTAATCCCTTTTGGTAATTTAGATAGCGATGTATCTAAGTGTATTTTATGCCGACTTATTGTTATTTGAGTGAAACTAATTGTTGAATAGAACAATTATATGCATAAAATAATTTTAAGCGTTTGTACAGGGACAAATATTTAAAAAGAATCATTTTTATTAGAGAAATGTAGTGAATGTCCCGATTTCTGTTTACATCATAATTTCTACTCACTGGGTTGTGATTATATATAAAATGATAGACGTCGGTGAGTGGAAATTGTTACGTGAACAGAAATTGTATCAATTACTACATACATTTTTGTCCTCCTCATCGTCTATGTTCAGGTTACAAAAAAATGGGTTGATTTCGATTTTAAGAAATTTCTGTCNATTTTTTGTAAGAAGTCCAGTTTAATTTTTCTGCAACTTGCTGAGGTTCATCGCATTCTACAATGAACAACATGCAACAAGTGTCTCTCCCTTCTCTTCTTGGACAGAAACACCTCACAGGTTCGCACTGACTGTACGATATCCTGGTTGATGGAATTTATTCTTAAGACATTAATTTATTTTTTTCACACTATCGATTTATTAAATGTACGTAACAGGATTTTGTAAATAGCACATGGCGTTGTATAATTACGATGGATGCATTCTGCTTGGAAACAAAAAAAATCGCTTGCTTCTCTAGTCGGAGTAGTCTATTCTATTATATTATTCAGAGGAATCGCCCTTGGAGTCTCTTGTTTTGAAGTACATAATTTGGAAACACACAAGTGTGTGGAAATCGCTGTGTGTCGCGTAAAAAATGTTAAGCTTTACGATTATTGGGTGGTGAATAAAATAGTAATATATTCGATGAAAGATATAGTGCGTATAATGACAGAGTTGCCTTAATTAAATTATTGCGAGCCAATGTTCGTCGGATCTGCGAATGTCCACGTTAGATTCTAAGCTGGAACATGTTTTGTACTTTGCTCAGAATAAAAAACAAACAGAAATTTAATTCCTTGTATTGTCTCTTTACCTGTCACTCAAATCCTTACATTAGTTTGTTAGGATTATAGTATTATTTCAAATAATGCAGTTTACACTGTTTTACAATTTTCTTATCTTAATAATTTGATATAAAAACATTTAGGTCTGCCGTACAGTTTATGCCTCAAATATGCCTTTTAGTAGATAATAATATGCTTAGAACAGTCACTTCGGTACTCTGAACCGTATTGTGGCAATCATAAACTCATGAAACCCTAAAAGACTCAGCGATCTTCACTTTAAGGATGTATAGACTATACAGGGTGAGTCTCCTAACATGACGACCTCAAATTACTCGTAAGTATTCGTCGTACGAAAAAATGTTTCAAACAAAAGTTGCATGGTATCCAAGGGGACATACAGTGCTCGAGTCTGTTTTTTATTACCTTTCTTTTTTATTGAGATATTACAATCACCTTCAGTTTTTTAAATGGAATGTCTAACATTTTTGTTCAAATTCGGATAAATCATCAAATTTTCCGTAAAAAAGGACTACACAAAGTGGGACTTCAAATGAATAATTACTGAGATATCTTAAAATTAATAATCTTCTATTAGGAAATACGCTCAGTCAACGTGACATTGTTTACGACGGCAGGTCATGTCTGTAAACAAGTTCCCTGTTGAATGTTAGAAATCATCAACACGAAATGCCTATTTAGTATCTCAGTAAGCGTTAAAGTCGTATTGAGAAAGGTGCTACATTTTTATTACGATGTTCAGCAACAGTGAAAAATACGATATGATAATTGTTTATGGTGCGTGTGAAGAAAATGCTGTAAGAGCTAAGATCTTGTACCAAGCTAAGTATCCTGATCGAAATCAGCCATCGCATTCTACCTTCTTAAGGCTTAGTCAAAGACTCAAAGAACATGGCAATTTTAATGTACAGAAACGTAAAAGGTATCGTAAAATTGTAAATAACGAAGTATGTCGTATTTCAACCTTAGCAGCTATTGCCCATAATCCGCACATCAGTACACGGCAGATTTCGCGTGGTATGGACATTTGTCAAAGCAGCGTTGTGCGTATTCTTGATTCGGAGAACTTTCATCCGTATCACCTGTCAGTACATCAAAAGCTACATGAACGAGACTTTGAAAAACGCGTACAGTTCTGTGAGTGGTTTTTGCATCAGATGCAAGATTCAAATGGTTCGTTTGTACAGACTATTTTATGGACTGACAAAGCCACATTCACAAATTGCGGAAATGTTAATACAAAAAATAACCATTATTGGGCAACAGAGAACCCACATTGGCTTCGTGAAGTTGACCATCAACACAGGTGGAATTTGAATGTTTGGTGCGGCATAATTGGTTACCAGATCATTGGACCGTACTTCTTTGAAAGATCACTAACAGGTCAAACATACTCCACATTCTTATCTGAAACACTGCCAAGCCTATTAAAAAATGTACCATGTTTAATACGTCAAATAATGTGTTATCAACATGACGGCTGTCCAGCACATTATGCTCGACAATCGCAGCAAGTATTAAATAGAATGTTTCCTAATCGTTGGATTGGACGTGGCAGTAACATTGGTTGGCCAGCTCGTTCACCAGATTTAACGCCGCTGGATTATTTCCTTTGGGGAACATTAAAAGATGGAGTTTATCACGAACCACCAACCACAGCGGAAGATATGCGAGAACGTATTATTAGTGCATGTGCTGCAATAACCACGGAAACACTGGAAAAAGTTCTTCGCTCACTGACAATTCGATTACGTAATTGCATTGATTGTAATGGACAGCAATTCGAACACCACTTGAAATAAAACTTCTTTTATAAATATCTCAGTAATTATTCATTTGAAGTCCCACTTTGTGTAGTCCTTTTTTACGGAAAATTTGATGATTTATCCGAATTTGAACAAAAATGTTAGACATTCCATTTAAAAAACTGAAGCTGACTGTAATATCTCAATAAAAAAGAAAGGTAATAAAAAGCAGACTTGAGCACTGTATGTCCCCTTGGATACCATGCAACTTTTGTTTGAAACATTTTTTCGTACGACGAACACCTTACGAGTTATTTGAGGTCGTCATGTTAGGAGACAACCTGTATACTTAAACGATGCTAGCATTTTGAGTTTGTTATTATAGATTCCTATTACTATTAAAAAGCTACCTGTAAACTTGAAATCAATTCATGGGTTTTTTGAAAAATTATAGCGACTTAAAATTTGCATGTACTCTCTATGGTAATCAACAATAACCCAAAGAAAACTTTACTTCGATCTCGAAAATAACCCAGAAAAAACGGTGATAAACTCTTGAAGAAAGGTCATATCGAATCGCCAGTGTTTTTTGAACAAATTGCTAAAAAAGATGATCATCATTCATGGATTTTAAAGAAAGTTATTGATTGAAACATAATATAAAAATTACAAATTCATCGATAAGAGGAGTCCTGTCCTATTTCTACAATATTTTTGGAATCATCAGAGCATAGTAAGTGTCGATTTGAATAATTGTTCTTCCGACGTCTGATTTCTCTTTAATTATAGGAAATGCGTTTTTCTAAGATACATTTTGGGATTGATTGTATAGTCAATACATCCTTAAGATTAAACAAGTAGAAAGATTTGAAAAATGATGGTACTAACCGGTTTGTTGCAAGTTCAATAAATACACATCGTTGCTCGGTAAAGTGAGATTAACTTCGCTGTCCTTTAGCCAATACTGTACTTTTATTTCATTGAAATTTGCATCTTCGAGTTTCGTCCAGGTGATCGGGATGTACCAAAGTTCTTTGGAAGACATTTGATCTGATCTCAAGAAGAATCTTCGTTGCTGTAGAGTTAAATTAGGTTGATGTCTAGTCACATCGACCACGGGATAGCCAGCCTGTGTTGTCCAACTGTTCATAATAGCGTGAATCGAATCTTTCAGCCCCGCGTCTGCTACTTTTTGCAAAGCATTGAACAAATCTTCAGGTGTAGCTGCATCGTATTCTCTAGAATGATAATACAATAATCAATTTATTAATTGTTATACACAAGTCTTATTAATTGATTAAAAACTTTTATATAGAAGAAAACACTTATAGTATCAGGTTGAAAAACATGTTTTACATAAACATTTAAATTTCGAAACATACATTCGACTTTTGATATTCTTAATTATTTTATTATATTACGCATGACATTAATTTCTGTAAATTCAGTTTTCTTATGAAGTTAATGTGAGTTCGATCTTGTTTATACAAGGTGGAGCAATAATTTTGTCCACTGTGAGTGTTACTGAAACTGGATGTTATCGTAAAAAATATTTTAATGTAAGGTAGAACCACTAAACAAACAATATAATGGAATGTAAAAATCAAAAATAAAAAAAATTGAATTGAGGGAGAATAGAACTAGCAGAAGTACGATCAGTAGCCTGACTCGTTAAAACTCCATTAAAACATTTATTTTACATACCTTTAATTTGACGTAATTGCTCTTCACTATATCGTCACCTTTCGTCATTAATATTTTGTGAAGGATTGAGTGTTAGATCCAATATTGAAACATACATTGTCGTACTATACTTACACTATACTATAACAAAATCCTTATCCCAAGCAGAATTACCAGACTGAGCGGTTTTTCTCTCTTCTCCTCTTCGCGTGCTGACCCCCACTACTGTATTTTGTGCCCGCTTACGTTACCCATGGACATGCGTCTGATGCGCCTACCGACTTGCTACGTGACGTACTTCATTCATAATAATAACATAATATATTCTCAAAATACGTCACGTAGCAAGCCAATAGGCGCATCAGGCGTATGTCCATGGGTAACGTAAGCGAGGGACAAAATACAATAGTGGGGTTCCACACGTGAAGAGAAGAGCGAAAAATCGCTCAATCTGGTGACGCTGGTCCCAAGTTCCAGATGTCCCAGTCAGGGATGCCAGAATGTAGGATTTCTCCTCTTCCCGAACTGTCCCCCACTACTTTGTTTTGCCCCTACTTACGTTACCCATGATCATTGGGGATATGTCTAATAATGCTATATGTAAGTGGGGAGAGCACATTGAGCATACAGCATATTACGGTGAAAACGAGATTTGTTCCTTTTTACTTGATGACAAGAGAGTTCCGTAGAGACTCGGTCGTGGTGATGGGTAAAGAAGTAGTCTTCATGAAGGTTCTAACTACTTTAACGTTTTTTTTGTTCTTAGGATGCATCTTTTATACAATTTTTGGGTGCTAGAGGCGCACCAATAGGGTGAAAGTTAACGAAGTAGGGGTTGGTTGTGGATGGCCGGTTTTCCAGGAAAACCGAAAGTGGTTTTCCTACGTACAGGGTGTCTCAGAAAAAGTGTTAGAGCCGAAAATGGCAGATTGGGAG